ACTTTGTTGAGAATGTGGCCATGTAATAAGCGGGATAATTTGCAGCGACTTGGTCATTATGGGGAAAAATAACACCCAGGGATCAAGATCCCTCCGCGACGCGGAGGGATCAGTAATTTTTAGTGAATTACTGAGTTTAGGCACGTTAATAACATTTTAATGAAGTTGAATACAGTATATTCATATTTGTCAGTGATTTCATGTCAATTCGGCGAACATAAACGATTAAATTAGGATTAAAAATCGAGAGCCGGCTGCTGTTTGTTACGGTAACCCAACTAGGACACTTGACACAGTGGCTTTTGGCAAAGCACACAAAGAAAACAAAAAAAACCGAGAGAGATGAGTTATTGTTATTACAACGTGACTTCACTATTATTTAACAACTATTTTTATTGGGTTCTTTTATTTGGGGTTAAGTACATTGTCAGAATAAGTGAGAAATGGATTTAACTTCTGTTAGACAGCTATCATACTGAATAAATATTTATGCAAAAATGTATGGCATTAATAATGTATATCTAATTACATTTAAAAATGTATGGCATTAATAATGTATATCTAATTACATTAACTGTGAATGTCTTTCATTTTATTTAAAATGAAATAAAATTACATAAAACATTTTCCATAAAAAAGTTGATTCAAGAACAAATCAGTACTTTTCTTATATGACTATTATTGCTAAATTTGAAAGGTCTTTACCAGCTTTGGAATTATATATATATATATATATATATATATATAGCACCTTCTGCCATCCCATCTCTACTGACATATGGATCTTAACAAAGATCCGCTATACATTAGTACCAGATATACTGTACACGGACATTTTAGTGAACCAGACCAGCTGTTTCCGCCGGGTCTTCGCTTCCCGGGCATCACGTTGTTTACAAGTGTGTTCAGATGCTAAATGACAAGTGCAAGTGACAATTGTTGTCGTCTTCTCTGTGAACGTTTTTTTCTCCGTTATTTTGCCATTTTCAGATTTAAATTTCGAGCGGAAAGCTAACCAGGAAGTAATAATTACTTAAGCGGAGAACGGAGAAAGTAAACGTTACAGCAGGCATAACAACAGCCGGTGTTTATTTTATTATAATATTCAAGAACAAATCAGTACTTTTCTTATATGACTATTATTGCTAAATTTGAAAGGTCTTTACCAGCTTTGGAATTATATATATATATATATATATAGCACCTTCTGCCATCCCATCTCTATATATAATATCTATCCGTGACATATGGATCTTAACAAAGATCCGCTATACATTAGTACCAGATATACTGTACACGGACATTTTAGTGAACCAGACCAGCTGTTTCCGCCGGGTCTTCGCTTCCCGGGCATCACGTTGTTTACAAGTGTGTTCAGATGCTAAATAAAAGTTTAGCTTGTACTTTTGATACCCCGCCTCTCGGCACCACAACATCCAGTTTACTGTATTTCACATGAGCGATGTCGAACATTGAAAAGTCCTTATAAAATCTCTGTTATTAGATCAGTACTTTTCTTATATGACTATTATTGACTTGAACACTGAGAATGTATTTATTAACTTCAGACATTTGAAATATTTGAAATCAGATGAAAACAAACTGTAACGGACCCTGCCGTGTTATCTATGATTACTATGCCTTACTGTACATTCATAATTTCAGCCGGAGGTAGGTGGTAGGCGTTGCGGAGGAGCAGATTGCGAGTGAGGTGCCTGTTCTAAACGAACTATTCCAGCTGTTATAAAGCATTAAATAAAAAGTAAGCAAGGAATACAGAATGTTTCGTTACGTAACTTTGTTGAGAATGTGGCCATGTACATGTAATACATGGGATCATTTGCAGCGACTTGGTCATTGTGGGGAAAAATAACACCCATCCTGATCGTTTCAATGAAGTTGAATACAGAATATTCATATTTGTCAGTGATTTCATGTCAATTCGGCGAACATAAACATCAATGATGATGATTAAATTAGGATTAAAAATCGGGAGAGCCGGCTCGTTCGTTTTTTCCGACTAAACAACATCAATTATTTAGAAGTTGATTTCACATGACTCCAGTGTGGAACCCCACTGCACCCCCTGGTGGATCAATGATCCATTGCAGCTGGCTTCACAATAATTAAATGTATTTATCATGGGGGCGGTATCAAGTCTGACTGGGGGCCGGCCGGCCATCACGGAACGTGCATGAACCGATCACGACCCTCGCACTTTAAACTGTCCAAAATAAGACGCTTCATCTGTATATGACCTCATATGACCTCATTTCATGCTGGACAGCTGCGAGGTGATCAGGGGGTCTTTTATGGCAGCACGACTGTAGCGCATGCACACTTGTAAAAAAGAAAGTAAAAGAAAAATAGTTTCTTTTTTTAATATGAAATAACAGTCCATTCTAAGCACAGTAGCCTACAGTGTGTAGCATAGCTATGCTTTTAACCCTCCTGTTGTGTTTGGTTCAAATTTGACCGATTTACTACTTTCATCAATCATAACTTTTTTGTTTTACATTCGATTGCATTAAGGCATAATGATATCCTCCACAGTAGACATTTGAACATATTCAATTGCTGATCACCACTTTCATTGAACTTTGGATTATTTAGTCAACTTTGAAACACCCATGGTGTTCCCGCCATAAAGACAAGGAATTAGTAACCATCCGGATCAGATCAAACACACACACACACCAATTTGAAACATTTCCCGCTCTTATGTGCCCATCCCCCCGGCACACCCAATACATGTTCAGTGTCTATTCTTTGTATATTTACTGCAGTTGTTCATGTATACCAGTAGTCTGATACAATATTTACAGTTCGAAAGGGTGTTAAATTACATTTGGTGATGATTAACGGTTTTTGTGTTAATGTAATAGCAGTTAAAACAGGACCGGTCAAATTTGACCGCGAACACCAAAGTAAGGGGGGGGAAACAAAGACAATAGGAGGGTTTTAATGAAACCATTGCTTATGACAGTGATGATATTTTAAATCAAAAAACATATTCCCTAAAATGTGGAAGCTCTGGGTGCCATACAAATGAATAGTTGATATTTTTTTAGGGCCACAACTTTGGCACTAGAGCACCTAGTGTTATCAAACGCATTTCAATGGTGAAACTATCCAAAGATATTCCATATGACAATATTTTCCACTACGATGAAAGGCGTGTAAGCCAACAAACCTTATTCTGGTTCCATCATGGGTAACCCCACCCATCCTCTCCACCTGCAGCTGGACAGACAGATAACCCCACCCCACCCCTCTCCACCTGGACAGACAGGAGCTCCTTCTCCAACAGACTGCTGCAGCTCCGCTGTCACAGGAACCGATACAGGAAAACATTCCTGCCCACTGCAATAACTCTGTACAACAAATCACCTCTGGCTGGAAGAGAACTCTCTGCTCCATAGCTTCTCTCTTCACAGTACATTTGACATATTCAGTGTAATATTTAATATTCCATCTGTCACATACTTATGTAAATATAATACCTTGCTTTATATCTTGTTATTGCTCATTTGTAAATTCAACATGTATATTTTCTTCTTTATTTCTTGTCTTTTTATTGTATAATGCCATGTGTTTTAATGCTGCTGCAACGCAAAGATTTCCCAAATTGGGATCAATAAAGTTCTATCTTATCTTAAACTAACAACCAGTGTTCCAGATGAGGATCATCTCTTTACAAAAATATTCAAGTGCTAACTCATATTGTTACTTCTAAATGAATTTATTTCCAAACGCATTATAATGCAGTGTGATGTAAACAACAAAAAGTACCACAGAAGTATGCTTAATTTATATTTATTCATCAAACAACCACATCAATAACATTGTTTTTAAAACAATAAAATGGTCCTCTCTGGCAATGATTTACTTATGTGTTTCACCACAATACAAGTAAAAGGCCACCATAAGGGTGTATGTTGACTCTAGAGCGTTGGGGTTAGTCTAACATGAAAAGCATGGACAACAGAACATAAAATCAAGTTATGCAAAAGGTTATAACATACAGTATTAAGAAATCATACAACACAACAATTTTTTTAGGATTTAACTATGTATATTAAACATATACATTCTATGTGTAAATCAAATATAACAATTTATAACAATGTATTATTTGGTTTTGAGAACAACAATGAGGTAATTCACCAAATAAACTATTTGTTGTTTATCTCAATGTCCCTAATTATACATCCTAAAAGACTGTGCATTGTACATGTTGATTGAAGTACTTCAATCAATCAGGTTAATAGCTGGAGATCAAAAAGGAAATATAACTGACAAAGCAATAAAAGCAAGTAACGCAAAAGAAACAAAAATGAACAATTAGAGCAAAGCTGTTATTGGCCTGCAGTGTAACAGGTGCAGTCATATAAAGTTAATGACAGGTAAATCCTATAAGAGATCGAAAATAATAATGCATAGGCATCCCGTTCTGGGAAAAAAGGGAAAGACCTCCTGCTCTTGGACAATGATGTGCTCACTAAGTTGTTTGGTAACCAGCAAGATATACTTGGACATGTGTGTTTCAAAAAGGATCAAAAGTGAATGGTTCATTGCTCAGGATGCATTCCAGGGACGCTGAGCATTTTGTTCAATAACATTTAAGTTGTGTACAAGTGAAATGTTTGGCCTGATGCTGTGGCATAGGGAAAGGTCATATGGTCAACATATTCAAGGGTGATCTTCCATTGAGGAGTATGAATACAATCTCTAAATATAAAGTCAGTAAAGTATTTACATTTCTGATAGCACATCAAGTCTTGGCGGATATTCGTGCTTGAGAGCAGCAGCAATCTGGGGAAATACAGAGAAACAAAAAAGAGGGGCAGATCAGAACCCAAATTTGAGGTTTTTGAATACACAATGTATGTTTAGCATTAATGAATACAAAAGTAACAGCAACATGTCTAGGTTGAGGCTAAATCAACAAAGATACTGTACATTAATTCCTAAGTAAATTACCTAAATTATGTTTCCTTCTTCATCCTCACTGGTGTCTGGACTGCTTAGGCCACTTTGACTTTCCTCTTCATGTTGAAGGAAAGAAGCATCAGGACCTAAAGCAGTCTTGTACTGCTGCAGTACCACCTGCAACCTCTCCGACGCCTCAGCATGCTTCCTTCTTAGGGTGCACCCAAGTCCTACATTCCCCTTGTCTACATCTGAAAATACACAAAATATTGTTATATGGACATACTATAAAGTAAGATTGCTTCACGAGGCCAGAGCACTTCAATGGAGTATATTCTCTCCCATGTACATAAAGATGATTGTCACTGTCAAGGGACTTCATTATGTAAAATGGCCGGGTCAAATGGGCAAAGGCCATTATACTCCATCCAATTTCTGTGACCAAGAATGATTTGGGCTGACTTTTTTCCTTTAAAACTCATACTTTACAAGGTAGGTTAAGTTTTGCTTTCAACTTACCTTCCTCAGCCACCTTATTTTTTAGAGCAACTGCCATGTTCTGCAACCATGTGCAATGCTGCGCCATCTCCAACAATAGGATGCCTTTCTCCTCTTGCAGTCTCCGTGTAAGCATCACTTGATCCAGTATCTTTTTCTTGGCTGTAAAGTTAGCTAAAATCCAATCACAGTTATGTATACATGAGTCACATTTTCATTATAGCATAACAATATGTTTAAAACTCCAAACATGTAATTCAGTAGGTTGAATCTGCAACCTAAAACATTATATTGTTATACCATTCTGTCTGTAATGGGATTGCTTCCGCTGCCTCACACTTAGGTAAAGCCCCTCAATGCTTTGCTGCAGTGCTGTTTGAAGGATGTCTTCAGAAGTACCCGATGTTTCTGATGTTCCTGTAGAAATAATAGTGGCAGTAAAATGTACTGTTACACAACACGTAACGGTTTTGAGAAACAAAGTTGTGTAACACCTTTGAACACAAATTGATGGTACAACTATGGAAACTGGAACATATCAGAGATAAACATGGACACATAGTTGGCTTGCTATTGCTTGAAGATTATGTCCCCGTCTACTGAAATCCAGTGAGGGTCCCATTACGTGGCATGCAAAATCAGCCTTATATCATTGGCTGCTCTTTAGGATCAAATCTGTAAATTCAAACAGTCATGGACAATGATATGTAGCTGGTGTTATCTCGTCGTGCTTACCAGATGCCCATTCCTTCACGTCGACACCATGTCATCTGAGACACAATGTAGCTCCGTCTTGAGTTCCTCAAGACTTGCAGTCTCTTCCAGGAGCCTCTTACTAGTCTGATAAACAGTAGACGATGGACATTTATCAAGATTAAAACTTGCTATGATTAACAACAAGCCATGTGCAAATGACAAAGGACACAACACCTTTAATAGGAGGCTCACCTTCACATATCTTGTGGAAAGTGCCTGATGAAGGGAGTCACCTTTTTTCCTGTTCCATCCCATAGCATGCACTGTGAGCATGTCCAGTCGTGCTTTTGAAAGCAATAATGAGGTTATGATGTGTCATCTAAAAAAGTATGCAATAATAGGGCAAAACCTTCCACTCACCTGCTTTGGACATGTATTTGGTTGTCAGGGCACAACGGGACAGGTAGCTGTTGACCTGCTCCACCTCTTCCCCGGCGGTCATCCCTGCTCCCTCCTGGTTCTTCCCACTCCATATAATCTGATGGTAAAAGGTTGCTGGAATTGTTGTGCAAAGAGGCTACATACTACTATACTAAACCGTATATCTTAGATATTTACTACTTCAGTATTATAAATATAAAAAATATAAATGTACGTGATACAAAAATATTTCACATACCTCGCATTTGGTAGCATGGGCTCGAGCATGCATTACACTGAGGAATGGCTTCATGGTGGTCAGCTCCTGGAGAGCAGGAAGGACACTTGCAGCTTTCTCCATGTACGGCCAGTACTTGCAAGCCACATCCATGGCGAAGAACTTGGCTTTGGCTGGCACGAGTTCCTTTTGAAGATACAGGGGGTAGGCGAATATCTCCCCCCTGTACATATTTAAGGCCTTCAAAAGAAACCCATGGCGACATACAGCCACCTCCATCCCTTCTTCATCCAGCTTAGAAGCCCTCCTTGACGTCTCCCTCGCTGCTGTCCACTGGGAGTCCCCACATGTGCCTCTTCCCTGGGTCTAAGACATGCATTACATCATGACAAATCAGTTAAAAGCAATGGAATCACAATCTACACCATTTGTTCTAATTATCTGATTTTGGAGTAGATGGTAAGGAGAAGTAGCTGAATTTGAAGAAAGTCTAGGTCAGATATACATGGCTATTTTTGTGATATACCTATAAGGTAAAATGACGAATAAAAACTTGCATTTTTCAGTGATCTCTGTATTTTGTCGACAAATGCAGCCACCGCGCTGTCTTCTGCTACAAAGAGCCCATTAAAAAAGGCGCTGCCATCAGAACTAAGGAAAAAAAGATTAGCAAATATATCCATGAAATATAAACAGTAATCAAAAAAGTTAAATAACAACATTGTAAAAACAGCACCTTCCACTTCGCCGAAAGCGATAGAGCTTCCTGTTTCCATCGGCAGAAACAGCCAACATCTCCGGCGTGCAGGCAGGGCAGATGAAAGGAGCACCACAGCAGAGCTGGTCTTCCTCATACGAGGCATAGGAGAACTCCAGAAAGCTGCGCTGCAGTGCATCTCCGTTGACAGGTCCAGACTGGAAGATAATTACATAATTGCTGTGATTTTGTCTATTTACGGAAATGTTATAATGTATAATATGGTAACGAATATTTATACTTACTCTTCCTCCACACTTTGTGCGATGCTCCAGCAGCTTTGCAAAGGCCTGTCTGGAGAATCCCGGAGAGATGACCTTGAGCTCTTCAAAGGAGCTCATGAGGTCCAAGGTGTAAAGTGTGGAAATACTGACCGAAGCTGGCCAGTATCCACTCTTAAGGAGGACTTTCAAGTCGGGGGTCCACTGCTGCTGGCAAGTTTGACAGACATATAGTGGCAGATGCAAGTCATAACGCCCTTGGAACAAGTAAATAAACATAATTAAGACACATTTTACAACAGGTCCATCTACAAATAGTCAAAGATTAACAGATATTACATGAAGGTTTTACTCCAATTGGAAGCACAATGCCTCAGCCCACAACAGTAAAAATATAACAACAATTCAATAGAAATCCAAATATATATATATATATTTGTTTACCATTGATGGTAATTAAAATCACTGGTTTGCCTGGTACCACAGTGAAGTTTTTGCCTTTACAGGAGCAGTTGGGTGCCTTCACAGTTGGCAATATGCAAGCTGTCAAAAAAAAAAAAAAAAGCACTAATTACCATTATCTGCTGGCCGAAGAGACATGTGAACATCAAAATGCAAGTTTGAGAGAGCATACCTTGGTCATGGGTGTCATATCCACCTTCCACTCTAACAACACACGTTGTTGGACTAATTGGTTTAAAAAACCCATTAATTAAACTGTCCCTGTTGTGGAGTGGCTGTTTCTTGTGATGAAGTACATCACAGTCTCCACAGAACCACTCCTCGGGGAGACACTCTCTACACCTTGGGAGGAAATACAAAATGATTATAATATCCTAGAATTACTTTCATTTTCATGTGGGTTTTCTCTAGGTATCCAGTTTTCTAACATCCCAAAAGTCATGCATGCTAGCTGAAATAGCAGAGCACTGAGCATTAATACTGAAAAATTACAATTAGGTAAAGTAATTTAAATAAAGGTAAATGTTATCTCACCTAATAACAGCCGGCTCGTGGCAGAGGCCACACAGGGGATGACCAACAGCCTCTTTTTCTAGAAGGCATTGTAGGTGGTGTGGTCTCGCTTCTTTCCAGCGCTCTGAGGCTTTCTGCTGCCGAAAAGACCAGGATGAGGCAGAGCTTCTTTGAGGCTCAGGAGGAGGACATGAGGAAAGAATGTCAGAGAGTCTCTCCATATTCTTTTCTGTGAACAGAATGGGAAACTTTAACTGTAAATGACTATATTTAAGATGAACACTAAAAATCAAGGATCATTTCTTTGCTCAGTATGGAACTGGCCAATATCTTTACTGAATTATTCCTCGTTCGAGTCCTGAACTGTCAGTTGTGTATAAGGTTATTTTCTCTCACTAACACAATTTATTTAAAAATTGATTTTAGTTTTAAACTTAAAGCCATTTTTGTGATTTACCAAATTCATGTTGTGCTGAAGGTTCAGTACGCAGAACCTCCACACTGGATGACTGGAAGCCCTCAGTCGGGGGGGATGTGACTGTAAAACATCACACAGAGGGTTAACAACAGATAACTGATGATTTGTATTATCTACCTATTGTTTAAAAGCTTGTGAAATTAAATAAAGCATAGTTCTTATGACACCACAGTGGGAATGTCTCCGACTGGAGTGTCACTATGCGTTTATATATTGGAATTATTGTAGACCCTCAACAAGCAATTACTGTGTTTTAATTAGATTTTCCAACCATTTACTTAGTAAATTCATAAAAATGTAAAATAATTGGGATTTCAACCTGTAGCTGAGCCTTGGCGTCGCCCTCCACGCCTCCCTCTCGGCTTGCCACGTCCTACACAGCCCCTTTTAGGGGACTGTAAAGTGTCTCCTACAGAGCGTGCCCGTTTCCTCTCCTCAGCTGCTTTCTGTGACCAAGTAACAACTCATGTAAGGTTGATGTTGCTGATAAACTGATACCATATGACAGTGGACAAATAAAAGGAAATTCATTCACTTGAAGAACATTTTTGCTTCAAGTTTTTCCTACCATATCCAACTAATGAAGTAAAACAAGTTGAACAAGCTTTATTTAGTAAGCCTCTGCCCCCCATGTTGTAATGATGAACTGTTTTGCAAAGGCCCTATACATTGATCCAAAATCCAGTTACTCTTGGCCTGTTCAGCATTTTTTGGATAAGAGATAGTGCCACATTCAAGTAGGAAATGAATGAGATCATATGGATTAAAACACCAACCTTAGCTTCAGCTAGCATGTGTTCATGCTTCAGCTCAAGAGCCATGCGTTTCCCTTCTTTGGATGTGGGATTATTGGGGTCTGGGTTGTGTTTTGTTGCCATTGCAACACAGCCAGCCAGCCAGCCAGCCAGCCAGACAGACAGACAGACACAACAGATATGCAAACAAACAGCTGCTGTATGAGACAGACAGAGATAGTGAGACAGATTGTAAGATTGAGATAGATAGATGAAGAAATAGATAATGAATGATAGAAAAAGATAGAGACAATAACTATAAGAAAGCTAGGTAGATAGACAGAGAGATAGGTTGAGTTTGGCTCTTAAAAGTGCCGTTGGTTTTATGATGGTGTAGATCAGTGTATGGGTTTGTGGTGTGGGTACAGGAGCTGCAGGAGAGAACAGAAAAAGTGAATTATGTAGTGAAACTAGCTTTTTTAAATGCACATTGTGACGGTTTAACTACTTTAGACAGACTGAGTGAGTTCATGTACGTGTTTCCTGTTTCAGACGCGGAACAAGCACATGGACTATGCCCCTCCCCCAAAACATATGTTAAATGTCCACTCGGCAGCGTTAGTACTGTCATGTGTAAAACAAAAGCGATTAAGATAACGTATAACTCACACTTTAACACCGAAGTATGTAGCCGTAATTAAGACAAATATTTTCCACACACCACTTATGAGCTGATATAAATGTAGCTAAACTAGATTAAGTTTATGTTGAACGTGAGCTAGCTAGCTAGGCGCCCGCAAGAATAATTTCACATTAATGTTGCTTTGCTGATAATGGCGAAAGCATTTCTCAGACTTAGAACAGTTCATTATGTATGATGAACTATGCGAGAAAAGGCTTAAAAAAAAGCCCCAATTATTAAATCATGCATCAGACTTTAGTGACACAACTTACTTTGTCAGAGGATGGATAGCAATGCCGGACCGGTGGTGGTGCTCTGAATTATGTCATTTCCTGTACCGATTATACAATAAAATATTAATACATTTCCTATATTTTGACACAATAACTATTTAATAACCTAAGTAGCCTACAGACAAAAACAAAAAAGTATATATTGCCTTATAAAATGCAGAAAAGTGTAAACACCAAGCATGATAATAATAAAATAAAAGACTAATGATATCTTAAACCTTAATAAATAAAATGGAAAATTAACCGACAACAAGAATTTAACATAAATAAAACAAGGATTAAAACAAGGATAAGTTTGACTCAATGTTGTGTAAAGTACCCGTTATGGTTAAAAAAAATAAACATTAGAAAATAATACAGCTTCCGGCTTCCCGAGACACGAAGAGGAGACACGAACAATTCTTCCACTTAAAATGCATTACTTTGAAAATCGTGCTTTCTGACACGAAAGAAACGTGTGCATAAACACCATATCCCTACGTGCATTGCGGCTAAAACATCCAATCACCGCTGAGGATTATTGAAAAGTCCTAAATCTGTTTCTGGTATTGTTTCGGACTTTATTTTGAAATTCAGTTCCTGACAGACGTAAAAAAAGCCCGAGATTATCTAATTAAACCAATAAATAAAAACAAGGATAATTGTGTGTTATTGTTGAGTAAATAACAGTGTGTTATTTTAAAAAAAATAACAAATTAGAAGGAAAAAAAGATTTTAAAAATACAGATTTCAGTATCCTGAGGCTCTGAGCCCCATTTTATTTCCTCACAGACGGCAACAAAAGTCCGAAATGATACGATTTTAAATAAAAGCAATAATCGTGGCTTGATATTGAGTAAGAACATGTTTTTATGAACCACACAGCTTCCGGTCTTCCACGACCAGACCGAGAAAAAGACGTGTTGACTTTATTTTGAAATTCAGTTCCTGACGGACGTCAAAATAGCCCGAGATTATCGAATTAAATCAATAAATAAAAACAAGGATAATTGTGTGTTATTGTTGAGTAAATAACAGTGTGTTATTTTGAAAAGAATAACAAATTAGAAGGAAAAAAAGATTTTAAAAATACAGATTTCAGTATCCTGAGGCTCTGAGCCCCATTTCTTTTCCTCACAGACGGCAACAAAAGTCCGAAATGATACGATTTTAAATAAAAGCAATAATCGTGGCTTGATATTGAGTAAGAACATGTTTTTATGAACCACACAGCTTCCGGTCTTCCACGACCAGACCGAGAAAAAGACGTGTTGCAGGCACGAAACACATTACCAATAGAAATACATTGCTTTTAAAATCGTTCTGTGTGACACGAAAATAAGGGGATAATCGTGGTGGTGCACACGAACCAATAGATTAAATAACGTGACTATAACACGAAATGCCGTGAGACTGGGTTGTGTGATCAGCTGTTTTAGCGCAGGGCTGCTGTTAATGTCGGTCTGTACAGCAGCCCTGCGCTAAAACAGCTGATCACAACGTTCACCTGTCTGTGCACACGGAGACCGACTCTGTCGTCCGGTGATCTAACCGCCTTCTGGAAAAGGTTCACAGGTACGTCGGTACGCAAATGCGCTTTGTGACACAAGTTACGGTACGCATTTCAGATTGTTGCCGCGCATGCGTACCTGCGTACCAGTTATGTGCACCCCTGACTATATTATTCAAATATAGCATGATAGGTCCACTTTAATGTAGCCTTTGTTTCTGCTAAAAGAGGTTTCGACTAGCTGGGTCCAGGGGTGGCCAACCCGCGGCTCGAGAGCCAGTTTCATGCGGCTCTTTAGTTCATATTGAATGTTATATGTGTGAGTGTGGGGGAGAGACACGGACTCCTGACAGTTAAACCTGATATTTAGTAGGTCTGTTAAGTATTGAATGCTGATAATTCTGACGTAATTTGGCCGGTTGTTTGGGCTCGGATAAAATCGCTCCGTTACTTTCGTCCCGGCTCTCCCTACGTGTGTATGTGTGGTGTCAGGTGTCAGTATGAGAGGATGACAGCGCCGTCTAATTTTGATCAGGAGCCCGACGCGAAGCGGAGGGATCTAGATCTGCATGAAGGGTGTTATTTTCCCATTATCCCGCTTATTACATGGCCACTGAAGTAAAAAGATATGATTCTACACTGTATTTTAGTGAACATGTATTGTTTGAACTGTTTTAGGTAATCACAAACGGGTTTTGATAATCACTTAGAAAAAGAATGTTACAGATGCAGCGTCTTATTTTGGACAGTTTAAAGTGCGAGGGTCGTGATCGGTTCATGCACGTTCCGTGATGGCCGGCCGGCCCCCAGTCAGACTTGATACCGCCCCCATGATAAATACATTTAATTATTGTGAAGCCAGCTGCAATGGATCATTGATCCACCAGGGGGTGCAGTGGAGTTCCACACTGGAGTCATGTGAAATCAACTTCTAAATAATAGATGTTGTTTAGTCGGAAAAAACGAACGAGCCGGCTCTCCCGATTTTTAATCCTAATTTAATCATCATCATTGATGTTTATGTTCGCCGAATTGACATGAAATCACTGACAAATATGAATATTCTGTATTCAACTTCATTGAAACGATCAGGATGGGTGTTATTTTTCCCCACAATGACCAAGTCGCTGCAAATGATCCCATGTATTACATGTACATGGCCACATTCTCAACAAAGTTACGTAACGAAACATTCTGTATTCCTTGCTTACTTTTTATTTAATGCTTTATAACAGCTGGAATAGTTCGTTTAGAACAGGCACCTCACTCGCAATCTGCTCCTCCGCAACGCCTACCACCTACCTCCGGCTGAAATTATGAATGTACAGTAAGGCATAGTAATCATAGATAACACGGCAGGGTCCGTTACAGTTTGTTTTCATCTGATTTCAAATATTTCAAATGTCTGAAGTTAATAAATACATTCTCAGTGTTCAAGTCAATAATAGTCATATAAGAAAAGTACTGATCTAATAACAGAGATTTTATAAGGACTTTTCAATGTTCGACATCGCTCATGTGAAATACAGTAAACTGGATGTTGTGGTGCCGAGAGGCGGGGTATCAAAAGTACAAGCTAAACTTTTATTTAGCATCTGAACACACTTGTAAACAACGTGATGCCCGGGAAGCGAAGATCCGGCGGAAACAGCTGGTCTGGTTCACTAAAATGTCCGTGTACAGTATATCTGGTACTAATGTATAGCGGATCTTTGTTAAGATCCATATGTCACGGATAGAACTATATATTGAGCTTTAAAACAAATGATATATATTATAATAAAATAAACACCGGCTGTTGTTATGCCTGCTGTAACGTTTACTTTCTCCGTTCTCCGCTTAAGTAATTATTACTTCCTGGTTAGCTTTCCGCTCGAAATTTAAATCTGAAAATGGCAAAAATAACGGAGAAAAAAACGTTCACAGAGAAGACGACAACAATTGTCACTTGCACTTGTCATTTAGCATCTGAACACACTTGTAAACAACGTGATGCCCGGGAAGCGAAGACCCGGCGGAAACAGCTGGTCTGGTTCACTAAAATGTCCGTGTACAGTATATCTGGTACTAATGTATAGCGGATCTTTGTTAAGATCCATATGTCACGGATAGAACTATATATTGAGCTTTAAAACAAATGATATATATTATAATAAAATAAACACCGGCTGTTGTTATGCCTGCTGTAACGTTTACTTTCTCCGTTCTCCGCTTAAGTAATTATTACTTCCTGGTTAGCTTTCCGCTCGAAATTTAAATCTGAAAATGGCAAAATAACGGAGAAAAAAACGTTCACAGAGAAGACGACAACAATTGTCACTTGCACTTGTCATTTAGCATCTGAACACACTTGTAAACAACGTGATGCCCGGGAAGCGAAGACCCGGCGGAAACAGCTGGTCTGGTTCACTAAAATGTCCGTGTACAGTATATCTGGTACTAATGTATAGCGGATCTTTGTTAAGATCCATATGTCACGGATAGATATTATATATAGAGATGGGATGGCAGAAGGTGCTATATATATATATATATAATTCCAAAGCTGGTAAAGACCTTTCAAATTTAGCAATAATAGTCATATAAGAAAAGTACTGATTTGTTCTTGAATCAACTTTTTTATGGAAAATGTTTTATGTAATTTTATTTCATTTTAAATCAAATGAAAGACATTCACAGTTAATGTAATTAGATATACATTATTAATGCCATACGTTTTTAAATGTAATTAGATATACATTATTAATGCCATACATTTTTGCATAAATATTTATTCAGTATGATAGCTGTCTAACAGAAGTTAAATCCATTTCTCACTTATTCTGACAATGTACTTAACCCCAAATAAAAGAACCCAATAAAAATAGTTGTTAAATAATAGTGAAGTCACGTTGTAATAACAATAACTCATCTCTCTCGGTTTTTTTTGTTTTCTTTGTGTGCTTTGCCAAAAGCCACTGTGTCAAGTGTCCTAGTTGGGTTGCCG